TGTTTCTTTCCCTCCTGAAAGGTGGAGCCAGGACGTGGGCCAAAGGCTACAGCCCGACCTTGGCCAGGAGAACACCCATCAAGAACACGAGACCCTTCAATCTGCCAAAACGAACAGGACATCCAAGGGTTCCACCCCCAGGATGCACAAGACCATCCAACAAACGCGAAGCACACGAGGGTGCCCTCCCAGAACCGACTTCGATCCTATACCTCGGCCTGGCTGTAGTCGGAGTCTTCAGAGGCCAGCAAGAGCAGAGCGCGTGATACGATTCTGCGCAGACGGTTCGGCTCCCTCTCTACGCAAGGACCCTGCCACCGGCTCGATCATCGATCCTCCTCCTCCTCCCCTCCCCGGCGGAGGGCCAGAGAGGGGGCCTGTGCTTCGTTCCTCCCCTGCTCGTCCTCGTCCTTACCTCTCCCCGCGCAGCCCCCAGTTGTGCCATCACTGTTTCTTATGTTGTGGGAGGGCGGGTGGGAATGGGCATGCCGTGCTTGACTCGCTCGAGCTGGCTAGCTTGACCTCTCCCACGCCCCCTCTTGCCCTGCGTCGAGGGAAGAGGAAAAGGAGTGGTTTTCCCACCGCGAGCGCTCCACCAGCACACCGGAAGCCACGCCAGCTCCCCCCAAGCCCGCGGCACTCCGGCTGCGGCCTGCCGGCTCGCCGACTGTCCGCGGCGCCGTCTGTCAGCTCGAGGAGAAGCCATAGAGACACTGTGGCGAAACTCCTGTGGGTTGTTGCGAGTACAGCCGTACAGTCCTGAACCACGCCTACAGTCGGGGCGTTGACCTAAGGAACCCAGAAGTTAAACTTCGATTACCGATCGCAAACCCAAGGAAAGCCTGAGGCAAGCTGTGAAACACTTAAGGAACGCGGAGCCCCTCCCCAACGAAGAGGGTTCCTTCTTCAGGGCCCCGACTGTACAGACGCACAGTCCTGAACCACGCCTAGGCAGTCGTGGGATAAACAGGTTAGCAACGAAACAGACGTTGGTCTGACTGGTCGCATGCGTACACGAGCGTTACAGAATCGGCTCGGGAAGGGGCCTTGTGTAATAGAGGGTGCAGTGTCGCAGATAGGGGCTGTGCAGGCGGAGGGGTACGTCTAGCACCGAGGAGGTGATTGAATCAGCTTTGGGAGGGCCTGATCCTGTAGAGAGTGCTTCGCAGGGCGCGTCTAGTGACTATCGATTTCACAGTCGATAGCACGATCGATCACACTATCGATACCACGATCCATATCGCTCGATCGGTACGGCCATGGATCATACGATCGATATCACAATCGATCCCACGATCGATATCACCATCGATATAACGATCGATCTCACAATCGGTATCACGACCGATATCACAACGGATCACACGATCGGTCCCACGATCGATCGCACTATCGAATCGATCTCACAATCGATCGCACGTTTGATATCACTCGAACGGTCGCATTATCGGCCTCACGAACGGTCCCACTCAAGACCCCACTACCGATCCCACGATCGAAGTCACGATCGACATCGCTATCGATCGCACTATCCATTTCACCATCGGCCTCACCACCTCTCCCACCATCGATATCACGATCGATCCCATCAACCCCACGATCGGTCTCACCATCGATCTCACTCTCGGTCTCGCTACCGATCTCACCACGGGACACCGACGGGACATCACAGGACACCGACGGGACACCCCGGGCAACCGCTGGCCAAGACGGGGGGGAGGGCTGCCTCTCGGTCCAGCCGCGCCCTCGCCAGAGGAATGTGCGTCCCTCTCGCCCCGCCCCCCCCCCGCAACTCCGCCTCGCTCGCGCGCACGACACGAACGCGAAACCGAAACCGATCTCCGGGTGGGGAGCTCCGCCCCACTGCGATCTCACCCCTCACCTACAATCTGTATATACTCCTATGCGACCACCCTTCGGGTGATAAGGATGTTGGGGGGGGAAGGGGAAGAACCAACTGCTGGGCACTGCGACGGGTGTGATGATTGCGATGCTGGTGGCGCGCCCTCGAACTGGCGACGACGCGTGATGACGACCTTGCGCCGCGATGTGATGTCACTATCGACCCCGCTATCGGTCTCACTCGATCGATCTCACTTTCGGCCTCACGGCCAGTCTTAGTATCGATGGATCCAGCGATCGATCCCACTCGCGATCTCACACTGAGCGGCGCTGAGCACAATCGGGACACCATCGGAACACCATCGAGCCAAATAAGTGCCACCGCCGCCGCGCTGTGATGTATGCTTGCTGACTGTGGTGGTTGAGTGCCGATGGCGACATGATGGTTTTTCTGATGGCGCCGCCCGCAGACATGCCACCGGGAAGCAGGTGTCGTGCGTAATGCTTTCTTGGGCCATGCAGCTGCGGTAGCAATGATCGCAGTGGCCACGGTAGTGATCGCACTGGCCGCGGTGGTTGCAATGCGAGGAGTGGTCGCTAGGACTGGAGCCATGAGAGCCCACTGAACCGATCCCACTGTCGATCTCATTACCGATCTCACTTGATCGATCTCACAACCGATCTCACTATCGATCTCATGATCAAACGAACTCAACGGATCTCGCTATCGATCCAGTCGATTTCACAATCGATCTCACTATCGATCTTACGATCGATCTTACGATCGATTTCACTCGACCGATCTCACTTTCGATATCACATGCGACCTCTGAAGCGATCTCAACCGATCGCACAGTCTGGCTCACAATCGATCACACTATCGATCTCACTGTCGATCTCGAAATCGGTCGCCCCATCGACCTTACTATCGACTGCTCTATCGATGCAACTATCGATCTCACTATCGATCTCACTACCGCTCGCACCATCTTTGCAACTACTGGTCCCACTAGCGACCTCACTATCAATCTCACTACCGATCTCACCACATCTCGGTCGTCATCGATCTCACCATTGATCTCACTATCGGTCGGGACACCATCGGGACACCACGGCGGGACACCGCGGGACACCGCTGGGACGCCGCGGGACACCGCGGGAAATCGCGAGAAACCGTCGGGACACCACGGCAGGGCCCCGCACCACGGCGGGACACCCCCGGCCACCGCCGCCCACCGGAGGGCCGGACTCCTGCACCCGAATCGCCCCAGCGACGGCGGGATGCGTCACCTCGCGCGCCCACGGCGAGACACCGCGGGACACCACGGGACACCGCGAGACGCCACGGCGGGACGCCCCGAGCCACCGCGCGCCCACCAGAGGGCCAGACTCTTGCACCCGGATCGCCCTGGCGACGGCGGGATCATTCCTCTCGCGCGCCCACGCAGCGTCGCCTCGCCCGCACGCACGACACACACGCGAAACCGAAACCACTTTCCAGGGGGGGGGGGCTGGCTCTCCGTTCCACTGCGATCTCACCCCCCAACCCACGATACATGTTATATATATATATATATATACATATAGCTACACGACCACCCTTCGGGTGATAAGGAGTTTGTGGGAGGGGTGGAGAGGGGGGGAACCAACATCTGACTCAATCGATCTCACTATCGATCTCACTCAACGGGACACCACGGAACACCACGGGCCACCACGGAACACCACGGGACACCGCGGGACACCTCTCGATCTGTCTTGACTTCGCCCTAGCAACGGCGGGTTCATTCCTCTCGCGCGCCCACGCAGCTTCGCCTCGCCCGCACGCACGACACGAACGACACGAAACGACTTCCCTGGTGGGGTTGTCCGTTCAACTGCGATCTCACTCCCCAACCTCCGATCGAGATGTATATATATATATATATATATGTATGTGTATATGTGTATGTGTATATGTATGTATGCTGGTATGTATGTATGTATGTAGGTAGGTAGGTAGGTAGGTAGGTAGGTAGGTAGGTAGGTGTATATGTATGTATGTATATATACAAACAAAAGACGGGAGGGCAGTACCAGCATCTGCCCGAGATGTTCCCGAGGTGGGGGGCACCCTGGATGGGGGGGGTAGTGCCCAACACGCGCCTTACCGCGTCGGCGTCACACGCTGCTGCAATGAGTACTCCAACCAACTGTCCCGCCTCCTCCCCTCTCTCTCTCGCTACCTCTCTCTCTATCCCTCTCTCCTTTAATTGCCACTTACTCGCCCAGGATGTCTCAAAGGCTAGAGTCTGACATTGCAGCGGCTATGTGATGCTCGTTTTTCGGACACGGGCGCCCCATGACTAAACACGGCCGGGCGATGGGATGGAGGGGGAGAGGGATTGGGCGATGATGGGGTGAGCGGAGGGGGGCGGGTCGAAGAGCGGAGAATGCTGGGCATGACTATGCACTTGGCACCCCCTGGCTGGCATTTACCATAGCTGCCGCCACGGTCAACGCCGATCTCGAATGCCTGGCAGTCCTCGTTAGCATCACACAGCTGCGCCCACTCTTCACCACTGCTGCCAGCGTGTAATTCCACCAGCCCTCTGGGCGTAGGTCGATTGACGAAATTGTGTCTTCTCTGTGCTGAAGTCCCTCCTACCCCGGCTCGGGGGATCGCTGCTCCCTGGGTGGCTGCGAACTGCGCAACGGTCACCACTTTCCTTGGCTTCTGGGAGGTCCAGTGGAGTCGGGGGCCACGCGCATCCAGACGGGACCTCGCTGCTCCCTGGGTGCTTTTCGTAAGCTCCTGGGAGGTCCAGCGGAGTCGAGGGCCACGCGCATCCAGACGGGACCTCGCTGCTCCCTGGGTGGCTGCGAACTGCGCAACGGTCACCACTTTCGTGGGCTCCTGGGAGGTCCAGTGTGGTCTGGGGCCACGCGAATCCAGACAGGACCTCGCTGCTCCCTTGGTGGCTGCGAACTGCGCAGCTGTCACCACTTTCGTGGGCTCATGGGAAGCACGGCAAAGGTCAAGGCATCGCAGATCGCACTTACCTGGCGATGTGATCTTTTTAATGAAAGGTTCGTTCGCCTCGCGTGGAGAAGGGGTTGGGTACGTCTCGGGCATCTTTGTGTGATGTGCACGCGTATATGTATATTTCTTGTAGAACTCAGTGGCGGGCCAATCTGTTAACCTGGTAGAAGAGATGCTCAAACGAAAGCCACTGCTCCCAGATCGGCTGCGGATTGTTGCAATGCCCGTCGCCGCTGAAGCCGTAGAAGTCCGCGCTGCTGATCAATCGGCCTACGAACCAGCAGAACAGGAACCCCCGTGTCCAGCTCTGCATGTGGCCTGCGCTGATCACGCAGTGCGCGCTCGGTCGGATCATCGACGGCCTGTCAGTGATGTTGGCGAACTCACCGCCGGTGTGCATCCTCCCGCAGCAGCTCCTCCACGCTGTGTCCGTCTCCAGGTCGATCTCGAGGACCGCCGTGTCCTGGAGAGGCGCCACCTTGGAGCACATGACGTGTACCGAAGTCCTGACGCCTGTCTCCTCCGGCACCAGCTTGCTGCCAGCAATCTCGTTGAACCGCGCTACTTCAGCGTGGGAATCGATCTCCTGTCCGAATCCTCTGCCAGTCAAGCTGTCAGCCCCGCCAACGACGGCCAAGCCGGTCTGGCCCCAACTGCGAGCCCCACGATGAATGACACGCTTGAGCTCCTCGATGCTGGGCAGCCTAGCCGCGAAGGCCTCGGTGGTCAGCTCGCCGCTGGGCACGAAGCCGTCGGCGCCTTCGTCCAGTCCCCGCAACAGCTCAGTGTCGAGGTCCGTCCACGTTTCACGGAACGCGAAGATATCTTGCGCCTTCAGCTCGCTGAGTCTCTGCAGTGCCTCGAAGGCCTCCTCGTACAGGTGGTGATTCGCTTTGGAGGTGTGGTTATCTAAATACTCCCTCGTCCTCCCCAGCTGCAGGAGCTCCGCGTCCGAGTCCACGGACGGGAAGTCCACGCCCGTGGTGAGGTGCGCAGCGCCGAGGCCCGTGCCGTCCCCTGGGCAGATGCCCGAGGCGTCTGCGCTCCCGAAGTGCGGCTCCGCCCGCACGGCCGAACACCACCTTCCTGCGAGCTGGTCCTGGACTTTCCTCCTGACCCACGGGGCGGTTCCTCATCTCCCACAGGTAGGGCAGGTGCTCGGCAGGCGCCAGCAGCTCCTCTTCGGGCAGGTGCTCAAGCTCCACAGCTTTCACGCCCTCGCTCGTGTGATCATGGGAAGTGAAGTGTCGATAGCGTGGACGCGCGGCTGCTGTACCCATGCAAATTGCCGCCAACATAAACAAGCCGATTGATGTCGTCGCCAAAGCAGTGCATGCCAATAACCATGGCATGCGCAATTCTCGCGGGGCTCCAGGCATGGCGTCTGACGGGCACCCCTCCTCTTCCGACTCGTCGGGCGTGCACCCGCTCATCGCGCGGGCGTCGGCCGAGGCTGCCCGCGTGGAGGGCGAGGGCGCGGGAGGGTGGGGGGCGGTGCCGCCCCGACTTCTGGGGCTTGAGCCAACATGGGCGCGGGCGTATACATATACATATACATATACTTATACATACATAATACATATGCATATATATATATATATATATATCTGTATATATGTGTATGTGTATGCACGCGGCCGGGAAGCTCTCCGAGGCAGGGTCCTGCCATGGAGACGGCAGGGCCTACGCCCAGTAGTCTCTGGGCACCGTCTCCAGGGATATGCTTAGATGACCACACATATATGAAGATCTACGGACATACACACAGACACACACATGCACAATTTTTGCGTCGGCGGCTAGGCAGAGTGACTGCGCTGGTGGATAGGCCACACACACGCACACACATACATGTGTCTACATACATAGATGTGAAACCACATCGTGTAGACATTCTGTGTATGTGCACATCTATAGTAGGCGTGAGTGTGCGCACCGACGTGTATACATCTAGAGAGAAGGAGAGGGAGAGAGAGAGAGAGAGAGAGAGAGATAGACACGCACACACACATATCCGAAATGAGGGGGTGAGATCGAAGTGGAACGGAGAGCCCCCCTACCGGGAATTCGGTTTCGGTTTCGTGTTCGTGCGTGCCGTGCGTGCGGGAGAAACGAAACTGCGTGGGCGGGCGAGACATGTCCCGCCTCTGGCTGAGGCGCGGCCAGACCAAAAGTCTCCCTTCTGGCAACCGGTGCCGCGCGGTGTCCCGCCAGTGTCCCGTCGGTGTCCCGATGATGATGGTGATGACGATATTGATGATGATGATGATGATGATGATGATGATGATGATGACGATGATGATGATGATGATGATGATAATGCTGATGGCCATAGTGGTGATGATGATGGTGCCCCGATGATGATGTTGATGATGGTGATGTTGCTGATGATGATGATGGTGTTCCGATGATGATGGCGATGATGTTGATGATACAGATGATGTTGATGATGATGGTAGGATGAGATGATGGTGCTGGTGTCCCAATGATGATGAAGTTGAGGATGATGATGTTGATGATGATGATGGTGATGATGGTGTCCAAAAAATGATAACGATGTTGATTATGATGATGACGATGATGGTGTCCCGATGATGATGAGGATGATGATGAGGCGATGATGATGGTTTTGATGGTGGTGGCCCGATGATGATGATGCTGATGTTGATAATGATGATGGTGCCCGATGATGTTGATGGTGATGATGATGATGATGGTGGCAATGATGGTGTCCAGGTGATGATGAGGATGTTGATGATGCTGATGTTGCTGATGATGATGGTGTCCCGATGATGATGGTGTTGATGATGTTGTGCATGATGATGGGATGATGATGGTGATGATGGTGGTGTTCCGATGATGATGATGGTGTCCCGGTGATGATGATACTGATGTTGATAATGATGATGGTGCCCGATGATGATGATGGTGATGTGCCGATGATGGTAATGTTGATGATGATGGACATGGTGGTGATGATGATGTTGCCCCGATGCTGATATTGTTGATGATGCTGATTTTGCTGGTGATGATGGTGTCCCGATGATGATGATGATGTTGTTGGTCCTGATGATGTTGATGGTGATGGGATGATGAGATGATGATGATGAAGCTGGTGATGATAATGGTGTCCCGATGATGATGATGTTGATGATGGTGCTGTTGGTGATAATGATGATGGTGTCCCGATGCTGATGATGTTGACGATGCGGATAATGACGATGATGGTGTTCGATGATGATGTTGATGATGTTGATGATGAGGGTAATGATGAGATGATGCTGAGTTTGATGATGGTGGCCCGATGATGATGATGCTGATGTTGATGATGATGGATGGTGATGATGATGGTAACGATGATGATGATGTCCCGATGATGATGTTGATGATGATGGATGATGATGATGGTGTCCCGATGATGATGATCTTGATGATGTTGTTCATGATGATGTGATGATGATGATGGTGCTCCGATGATGATTATGGTGTCCCGATGATGATGCGGTTAATGATGATGATGGTGACGATGATGGTGTGCCGGTGATGATGATGATCATGATGATGATGGTAATGATGATGATGTTGATGATGATGGTGATGAGGTGATGCTGGTGATGGTGCCCCGATGATGATGATATTGATGACGTTGATGACGGTGATGTCGATGATGATGATGCTGATGATGATGCCGTTGATTGTGAGGTCGATTTTGATATCGATAGTGATATCGATAGTGACACCGATTGTGAGATATATTGTGAGATCTATCGTGAGATCGATAGTGAGATCGATTGTGAGATCGATAGTCATATCGATTGAGATATCGATCGAATGAAATAGATCGGGTGATGTCGATTGTGAGATCGATCAAATGAGATCGATCGGGCGAGACCGATAGTGAGATCGATCCTAAGATCGATAGTGAGACCGATCGAGTGAGATGTTGGTTCCTCCCCACCCACCCGACCCTCCTTATCACCCAAAGGGTGGTCGTATAGGTATATATATATATGTGCGAAGCAAAGACTGGACAGTCGACCTAGGAGCCAAAGCAGGAGGGGGAGAGGAATTTGAAAAGGAGGAACTGGCGAGGGAGGGCTGGAGAGGGAGGAAACGGCAAGAGGGGGAGAGGGATACGAATGTGAAGGGAGGTGAGGTCGGGGAATGGATAACGTAAGAACAACACCGAATTCGCCAACCTCGGCCCCATCCTGCGAGATCCGACGCCGCGGGGAATCACGGTCGGAGCTCTCGGCCCCACCTCTCTGCGAGTTGTTCCGAGCTGGATCCATCCGTGAGGGTCCGGAGGCAGAACGCGCGGCGAGGACGCTGGTCGGCCACTTCTCACGAGGGCCGGGCCTGCGGGCCTCTCCTCCTCCCCGTCCGCCTGCGGGTGATGATGCCGCAGTCTGGCTTGAGCGCACCGTGGGTGTCCCCAGAGCAGATGATGCCGACCCCGTAGGTCTGGCAGGCCGTATCTCTCTCTCTCTCACTCTCTCTATGGGCGAGGGGGAGGGCACTGACATCTCGCCATCGCTCGGACGTCCACCCCCGGTGCATTCCTCGGTCCCGTGCGTGCCTCTGTTTTTGCGGTTCGACGAGTCAGGATGCTACTCGATGGTCCTCGCCAGAACTAAAAAGACGCACGCGTCCGAGCGATGCCACGTCTCTGAGGGTGAGGGGGAGGGTCCCGACATCGGCCCACGACGCCAACGTGGCTCCGGACGGGGCAGCACGCCGGCGGCGTCGGAGCTCACACCACGTCTCAGCGAGACCCCTCGGGCAGTGCGAGGAGCTCTCGCTGCGGAGCGCGCGAGGAGCGAGGGGAGGAGGGGGAGGAGGAGGAGCCGAGCGTGGCAGAAAGAGGAGGAGTTGTTTGCTTTACTCGGCGAGGGGGCCTCTGTGCTGGTAAAGGTATAGTGCATAATACAGCAAGGCCGTCGCTGGACCCAATCAGGTCCATACTCTTTCTCGGCGGCGCGTCTGGGGCACGCTCGACAGGGCTGCTCGGGACGGCAGCCTGTGGTCGAGGTGACAGGCCAGCGGCGCGGATAGGAGGAGAAGGAGGAGGACAAGGAGGAGCCGCAAGCCCCCCGTCGTTCCGCTGTGTCGTCGTTCCTCTCCCCCCCCCTGCGTACGCTCAAGCCCACCGCGGTTTTATTTGTCTGCGTTTCCTTTACAAATCTCGTTTTTTTCCACCCTCCCCTCCAAAGAAGGCCAATGAGGGAGGGATTACCGTTAAGTCGGGCGTGTCCCTCTACAGGAGGAATATTCAAAACAAATCAGCAAACAATCGTGTGGGACGACGCTTTGAATATGTTTGAGCATTTTGGTGCCTTTTATGACAATGTTTTATGTGTCGTCCGCAGTCCGCCTGTAGAGGGACACACCCGACTTAAATTTAATGGCCGGTGGCTCCAATCTTCACTGACACGCCAGCCGCCGCCGGCACGAGCTCGTAGAGGAGGAGCAGCGGCCTGTGTGTGTGTG